CAATATTCTTGATGAGATGATTATGAATGTTAGAGTTCTTGTTCCACCTATGTTGAATGAAATATTTTATATTATTCAGATATTCATAATGTAATGTCATGACATTCTTTTTGACATTATATTCTTTCAACATCTGTTTCATCCACACCAGTTGAGAGTAACTTCTTCTTGTTTCAACTTTAGCTTTAGCAGTGAACCAAGAAGCACATATTTGCTTCTTATTGAAATAGGAAATCAGACTATTTCTCAAGTAGAAACATCCATCATAAGCTCCTTTTATGTGATTTTCATTATAAAATTCTTTCAGCATGAAATTTGTGATGTCATAATATAACACACCATAAAAAATTGTACCAATGATACATTTCAAGATTTTCTTCTCTTGAATAATATGGCTCATGTTAAATTCAAGTTTAGATACAAAACATGAATTTGATATCTCTTCATTGGTTCTAGTGGTGTCTACTTCTTTAATGTGTCGTGTAATGAGTTCCTTGGAACGTTCTTTTTGAATTCTCTCAGAGAGACCTTTGTTGAATTGAGAACTAACTGATTCAATGCTTGTGAACTCACAAATTACTTATTTTCCTTACTCATTAATTTGTACAGAAGATATTCCAACATTGTCTTCAACATCCATCTCTTTTTCAGTGATTGAATCAATAATCACCACACTTATGGATTCCATTGTAACTCTAGTTCTAGAGTTAAAAACTCTATAAGCTCTGTTGTTTGAAGAGTAACTTATAAATATCCCTTCATTACTTATGGGATCTATCTTATACTTTTGATCTTTGTTAGTCAAGACATAGCATTTACTTCCAAATATATGAAAATATTGGACTGTAGGCTTCATTTCTTTCCATAACTTATAGAGGGTGGCTGAAGTGCCTGCCCTCAAAGTGACTTTATTATAAATATAACATGCAGTATTCATAGCTTCATCCCGAAACTGCAATGGCAATTTCTTAGCATGAAGTATGACTCTAGTTGGATCTTGTATAGCCCTAGTATTTTTCTCAACAATTCCATCTTTCTTAGAAGTGATGGAAAAAAATTCATGACTGATATCCTTAGAAGTAGAAAATTCGGAGAATTTAGCATTCTCAAACTCCTTGTCATGATCACTTATAATCTTGGCAACTACACTATTATGCTCCTCTTGAATTCTTTGACACGGATCTTTCAAGACTTCAAAGGTGTCTGATTTTTCTCTAAGAAAGTTCACCCATGTAAACCCTAAAAAGTCATTTATAACCACATAGACATACCTATTTCCACCAAGACTTTTAACTTCCATTGATCCCATCAGATCAATATGAAGAAGTTCCAGCACTTTGGAAGAATCGGATGTACAACATTGGATGTGACGTCTTAGTTTGCTTCCTAATATCACACTTACCACAAACGTTCCTTTCCTCAACCATGAGTTGTGGCATTCCTCTAATAGCTCCTTCAAATATGTTTTTCCTTCATTCTTTTGTTGATTATCAGAAAGATGATTAACTCATGTATCTTCAGTCTCTTTCATCCCATCGACTCCATTTTAATCCTTCTCAAAGAATTTGTCATGTTATTAAGATTGGAATTTAAGAGAGTTACCTCATTTTATAAATTAGAAACATTACATAGTAGTTTCTTCTTCTTATTTTCCAATTCATCTATGATCTTTCTCTGATTTTCTTCTGTCTTAAGGCTTTCTTCACACCTGTCACAAATTTTCTTGTAGGACTCATCCAGGTCTTCATATAGAACATTTTCATCACAAGATTTTACCTCATCTACCCATCTTCCAATGAGAGCAGTCACAAGTTTGACAGTCTCAGAGTTAGGATCATCTTCTGACTTATCATCATCAGACCAAAATACAGAAAGTCTCCTTTTTTGTTTCTTGAGATATATGGGACATTTTGGCCTAATGTGACCAAATCCTTCACACTCAAAACATTAAATACCTTTTCTTTGATTTGACTTATCTTCAGTTCTGATTTTTTTTTAATCATCATTATTGCTGATGTCAAATGAGATGTTCTTGATATTTGGTCTTCCTCTTCTGTCCATTCTCTTCAGAATTCTGTTGAATTGCTTCCCAAATAATACAATGGTATTTGACAACCCTTCCTCGGTATCCAAATCATCTTTATCTTCAGAATTGGATGCAAAAGCTATGCTTTTGTTCTTCTTTTCAAACTTTTCACTTATAGCTAGTTCAAATGTTTGAAGTGACCCAACAAGTTCATCAACTCTCATGTTGCTGATGTCATGAGCTTCTTCAATGGTTGTTACATTTATGTCAAATCTCTTAGGTAGATACCTGAGAATCTTTCTAACAAGCTTTTCTTCTGGCATCTTCTCTCCCAAGGCACTAGATGTATTTGCTATTTCAATAACATTCATATGGAAGACATGAATGCATTCATCATCATTCATCTTTAGGTTCTCAAATCTTGTAGTGGGAAGTTGAAGTATGGACATATTCACTTTGGATGTGCCTTCATGAGTTGTCTTGAGAATTTCCCAAGCATCTTTAGCCACAATACATGAATTAATTAACATGAAAACATTCTTGTCCTCTCCATTGAATAGAGCATTCAAAGCTTTGGAATTTCTAAGAGCTAATTCATCTTCCTCCTTAGACCAATCTTCTTCTGGCTTCAAAGACTCATTTCCATCTTTATCCTTCACAACAGGATGATTCCCTACTTTCAAAACAGCCTTCCAAGATTTGTTGTCCATAGATTTTAGAAAAGCTGCCATTCCAACATTCCAATAGTCATAATTTGCACTATCTAACATAAGTGATCTGCTATTGTATCCTCCTTCCTTATCCATAGTACCAAAAAATATTCTCCCCGAAGCTCACCCAAAAACAGAACATGGTGTTTGCTCTGATGTCAATTGAAATTCTGACACTTTAAAATAGATGTCAAGACTGATGTCCCAACACCAAAACACAATATCAAGACAGATGTTAAGACATTATTTGTTAACACAACAACTTACAACAGTTATGAATTATTCAAAAGATAAATAACACAGTCAATTGTTAACTCAGTTCAGTGCAACATCACCTACTCTGGGAGCATCCAAGCTAGGAAGAAATTTCACTATGATAGTATTAGTTCAAAGCTAAACAACCATATTTTACAACTTATCGCCTAATCACTATCTTATACAACTTTTACCTAGGAACCTCTTAGATATGAGAATCCTCTCTCACTTCCCATAGTCACCTCATTGACAATAACAAAAGACTAAAAATAGAAGAACACACTTCCAATTACAATACTCAGTTCTGCTTAAGAGCTTTTGGCTGAGAATAATAACTTGACATAAAATCCACTATTTGGTTAAAAGCTCATGAGTGATTGGCAAGTAAAATTAGTCCAACTCTTATTATCAAAAGATAATAGAGTGGATCACAAAGAACAAATAACAAACTAAATACCCTAAACCCTTATCTCATGCACACACAATTTCTTCATGATATCTACTTTTTTTTTAGGTTTAGTAAGTCTTATATAAAGAGTCTTGCAGTATGGGCTTGGACTCTTCACACAAATCCAATCTTTCAGTTGTAATCATCTGCAAAATCTTCTCCACAAAAATAGGAACAAATCTACAAAGTTTTCTAAAAAGTCTCCAAGATCCTTTTTATGAAACCAAATCATATTTGCATTGTTCCTAAAAAATCCTTGCTTAGTTGCGACAATATGAGAACTAAAATCATCCAGAATCTCATATTTTAGAATCAAATCTTCAAGGATTTAAAAAGCAGAATTGTACTATTGTTCTGGTAAAATATATCAAAACATATGTCAGAAGATCTGTCTTCAATGAAGTCTGATCAACATATCAGGACATCTCTTACAACATCTTATTGTGAATCATGTTTTAGCAAATTTTTTGTCAATCATAAAACCATAGATCTAACACTTATCATAGCTCCACTCATGTATACGAGTAGGCATACAATCATTGTTGTTGGTTTTGTCAACCACAATCTTTGGGTTCAGGTAAAACTTCAAACCTGATTGCCCATTGCCTCTCGTCATAGACCGTTGGAGACATAATTATATTGTTGAGGCAAAAGCATGGGAATCAGCATATGCAAGTCGCTTTAGACACTGAGAAGTTTTGTATAGGAAGTGATTGTTGTTTGTTTTTTATGTTTATATGTATGACAATTATTCTATTTTATCGTTTCAATTTTTCAAGAAAAAATTATGAAAAATAGGAAAAATAAATAAACATTTAATATTATTAAAAATTTGAAATTTCTGTAATTTTTAATACTTACCAAAAATTTCGAAATTTCCGAGATACAATATTAATACTCTCCGAAAATTTGAAATTTTCGATATCTTCCACCAACACCGTAAAAAACTATAAATTTAATAAAATTTTCGATATTATATTAAAATTTCTAATATACAATTGTAAATTTTAAAATTTCCAATATATTATAGAGACGTTAACTGAAAGAAAAAAAAAATAAAGGGTGCCAAATTTAACTATGGGATGCTAAAGTTAAATCCTCCTATTATTACTTTTATGGTTGAAAGGAATAACTTTTTTGTGTATTCATATCTCTCACCAAACTCAATAGTATTTATCAAACACTAAACACAGTTGGATTTATGCCGCCGGCCAATTTATTTATGGTCTCCAGCTGCTGTCACATATTGACCTAGCATCACAGCAGAGCAAACCAAATAAAAATTGACCTGGTTTATTTTTACTACTTCAAAATTTTATTTTTTCTACTGTTATTAATAACTTTTTGTAAAAATAAAAACATAAATATTTGTATGACTTTGACTTATAAAATAAAATTATAAAAAAAAAACAAGCAACTCATTTTCGTTGGACAAGAATAAAATCTCCATGAAGAAATAGTCCAAGAGAAAATTTAAATAACACGTGGAATAATATCAATTTTCTTACATATTTGCTACAAGAAATGATCATTGAATCTTCAAATTCTTTGTCCTCTACCAATGAAGAAATCATCAAGCACCAATTTGCAATATCAATCTAGTCAAAGAAAAAAGAATCCAAATTTTCAAGATATTACAGAAACTGATTCAACCAAGAAAAATTCAGGACTCAAAAGTTTCATATCTATTGTGAAAAAACTTGCTTTGATTTTTAGTAGCAAAAGCAAAAAAACATCTTCAAATGTTGTTGGAAGTGATGACAGAAAGAATACATCAAAAACAAGATTTATGGTATCATGTAAGTAGTTGTTTTTTTTAGATTATTTGAAATGCTTTTGTTATGTTTATGTTAGTTTATGGTTATTTTAATCATTGTTTGATTCTGCGGTGAAAAAAATTGATTTTGACTTAAGATGAATATTTTTGTAGTATTCTTCTAAGATGAGGTTTTATGATGTGTCTTGATTTGCAGCTTCAACTGATTTATCATCTGAAAGTGGCAATAAGAATTCATCAAAATGGAAATTTTCTTCTTCCTATGCATCATCTAGTACTACAAGTGGACAGCTTGGAATTGGAAATTTTACTTTTGATGAAATTTTTAAGTCAACTGCGAAATTCTCGCCGGATAATCAGATTGGTGAAGGTGGATTTGGAACTGTTTATAGAGGGAAGCTTAATGATGGGACTATTGTTGCCGTGAAGCGGGCGAAGAAGGTATAAGATAGCATAATGTTCATCTTTTCATGATTTATAATCTTAACTTGTTGCATTTGTGATTGTAGATGATGTGAATATTGCCTTTAGTTAGATACTAAGACTTTGTTTGGATAAACAATTTGATTAAGTGCTTATAGTGTAAATGCTTATCATATAAATGCATATGAATAAACTATATTTACAAAAAAATATAAGATAAAGAGAAACTGTTTTCATGTATGATATAAGCTGTTTTCATAAGCTATATTGTAGAGCTTTCTTTTGTTCGATTCATTTTCGAAAATTTTCAAATGTAGTGAAGTTTTTCTTTTGCAGGAAGCTCTGCAGAGTCACTTATATGAGTTCAAGAATGAAATATACACTTTATCAAAAATAGAGCACTTGAATCTTGTGAGATTATATGGATATTTGGAGCATGGAGATGAGAAGCTTATTGTTGTTGAGTATGTTGCTAATGGAAATCTCAGAGAACATTTAGATGGTAAATCTTGCATTGTACTCTCTAATCTGTTATGCTAAGAATTGCAAAACCGAAAAAACACTGCATATTCTATATTCGTAAAAGTAGTCGATTGTTTATGCAGGCACTCGAGGCGATGGCCTAGAAATCGGTGAGCGTCTAGACATAGCAATTGATGTAGCTCATGCAATAACTTACCTTCATATGTACACAGGTATGTCATAATGTCACATTAAGGACTCATATCACATTTAAAATCAAATCGAGATAAAACTCGATGTATAGTAAGATACCGACAACTGAATTTTTCGTTGTTTATAACTCGACAGATAATCCGATTATACATCGAGACATCAAAGCGTCAAACATCTTAATTAGTGAGAATTTAAGGGCTAAAGTTGCAGACTTTGGTTTCGCAAGGTTATCCGAAGACCCTGGTGCAACTCATATTTCGACTCAAGTTAAAGGAACAGCTGGTTATATGGATCCTGAGTACTTGAGAACATATCAACTCACAGAAAAGAGTGATGTTTATTCCTTCGGCGTATTGCTCGTTGAAATGATGACAGGAAGACACCCTATTGAGCCGAAGAAACAAATCGACGAGAGAGTCACAATCAGATGGGTATGCATGTTAAACCATCTTTTACATGAATGTATCCAAATATAAATTACTTTGCATTCGATTCAATCGACATAATTTGTGTGTACGCATGCGTGCAGGCAATGAAGATGCTAAGGAAAGGGGAAGCTGTGTTTGCAATGGATCCAAGATTGAGAAGAAATCCAGCCTCCATCAAGGCAATGAAGAAGGTTTTCAAGTTAGCTTTTCAATGCCTTGCACCTTCCATACATTCAAGGCCACCTATGAAGAATTGCGCCGAAGTTCTATGGGGAATCCGTAAAAGTTTTAAAGACGAAATCGCTCCTATTCCTATCTTACCTTCTCATCAATCCGAAAACATTCCTCAGAGAGAAAAGAATAAACATATAGTATTTGGTATTGAAGATGATGACAGCTATAAATTTACCTCCGCGCCTAATCACATTCGATCATGAAATTTGTTTATTGTTTGAATTGTTCAAATTGTTCAAATCTTGATTTTTTAAATTGCGGCCGTGAAAGATGTGCCTGCAATTGCAGATACCTCTAAATCCTTTATATTGCGGCTGCAATTAAATTTACAGACTGCAATTTCAAACCATGGTTTAGATAGGCTATCATGTATGCGAGTTTGGCTTCGATACGATCGTAGTTTTTTTCCGATTTATTGATTATACCTTATTAATTGATATGTTTATGTGCAACATTCTAGCATGAGATGAAAGGGTATTGAAGTTAAGAGAATGGTAAACATTGGAAAAACTTTAAGATATACAATGTAGCAGCGTCTTCGAATTCAATCATGAGAAGTGCGCAATCGGCTTCACAATAGTAGCAAATAATATCCATTCCAACAAACTCAAAAATCAAAATGAAACTAACTAAAAAAAATCATGCTACTAATTAGTGAATCTCACTGTCATACATTTTTTTGTCTCATAACTCTATTACTCAATCTTATAAGCATAAAGAACAAGGCAAAACTCAAAACTAGCAACATTAAGAGATGAATAACAACCAACATTAGCCTCATCATTATTTTCACAAGCTTCAACAACAGCACTACCTTCTTTTTCACTTTCAGCTTCAACAGGCCCTGGCTTAAAAATGAAAAGTCCCGGCCCCGAACCAGAACCACTAAACAACCAATCATGAACATCCCAAAAAACTTGCACCGGTTGTTTATTCACCATAACTGTTTGATTCCCTCTAAACTTCCACTGCAAATTCTTAACATGAATCACAACAACCCCGTCGACGGTAATCCACATTTCGGGATCGACATTAGGTCCGCCATTTGTTAAACTATCAACAACAATCTCATTCTCTTTTCTCTTCTCGTCGAACTTTGCCTTTGTGGCGAAACTTTTCTTCGCGAAAACGTTTTCTTTCTTCACAAGTAACATCGCATCGACCAGCGCAGGTCTAGATTTCGTTCTTTTGTATGCCTTCTTCTTGTAATCTCCCAACAACAAAACGACCTCTTCATCTGAAATTAACGCTACGTAGTAATCGCTACTCGGTTCAGGACTACCTGTGAATTTCGCGTTCCGAAGATCCCAATAAACTTCCACTTGGTTGCCTTCAACTTCAAATGTTTTATACCCTTTTTTGCTCCAAAAAGGCCACGATTTCACATCGATTTTGCAGCTGAATTTTGTATCACCTCCCACGCTATCGATCGTGATGTGTAACGAATGGTTCATGAGATTTTTGCACCATAGAATTGATACATTTCTCCAAAATCCAGCTACATTGGCTTGGTACAAACATGTTACCGTGCTTTGCGCAACTTTGCTCGGAACATGATCATCTGTTGTTTTCTCTGATAAACTATATGATCCTTGTGTTGATACTGATTGTGATCGAAAGGCGCGAAAAGCCATTAATTTTTTGTCTCTCTAAATCATAAAAAAGATTCAAAATTTCAAATCCATTATATCATCTTTACACATTTTTCATTCCTTATATGAAAAATGAAAAAATGCAGATGCAATGTAACTCTCAATATGGATTCTTTGATGAGAAATGAATGAAACTATAGATAACCCTTTGAAGATTTGTGCTTTATGAGTGATATGATGAAATCTACAATGGTGATGGTGTTAGTTTTTTCTTTTTCAGAGGAAACTCGTTTGCATGAACAATTTTGGGGTGAGAAAGAGAAAGTTTGTATATTTTGGAGAAAAAATCTCGATCTTGAGGTTAGAAATAGAACATGTCCGAAAGACAAGGGACCATAAGGAATGTCCTTTCAACTCTTAAAGCTATGGTTTTACTATGTTTCTTCCAATCTTACTATTCCGTACCAACTTATATGCAAAAATCTAATGTTTCACAATTAAGAAAATTTAATTTTTTGTGTTTATTTTCAAATATGTTTTATAGAAAAATGTAAAAATAATTTTGATTGATTGTTATTTATGGAAAAAATGAAGAAAAAAAAATTAAAAAAGAACCGAAGGAGTTTACAAATAGAATAATGTTATTTTTTATCCAGTTTAATTGTATCTCTAATTTATCATTCATGTTTAAAATTAATAATCTACTACACCAATAGAGTTTTGACATTTGACAAGAGGTCAGACTTAGACTTTTGTATCAAAATTTAATAGTTATAACTTTTATATATTTTTTTCCCTTCTATATATAGCTAAAATAAAGTATCATAAAACTACCTATTAAGCTTGACGACAATTTGTTGACTAATCTTGTCAATATTGCTAATCACTGATTTCTTATTTTGAATAGGCTTTCAATACCAATAATGGATTGAATAATGGTTTGATTGAGGAAATAACTCCTACCTTTATTGATGAGTAAAATAATAATATAGGAGTACTTCCTAGTATTACTAAAGAGAAGGTTAGAAATGCCATTTTCATCTTACACAACTAAAAATATATATATTTAACCTCAACCTCATTTAGATATGAGGTGTTACTTTAATTTTAAATGTGAGATGATAAAAACGTGATAAAAAATGTGTTACTTTATTTCTCAGTTTTAACTCCATCGGTCCTTTTCTTCGATTTTAATATGTTACTAACATGTAAAACAGGATTGAATTTATTATATATAATATAAATTATTTATTTCACTAAATCTAATTGAAGATACAATTTCTTAAATTAATTTTATATATATATATATATATATATATATATATATATATATATATATATATATATATATATATATATATATATATATATATATATATATATATATATATATATATATGTTTTATTTCAGTTGAAAAATATAACTGAGGTGTAAAATGAATTTTTTTAATTAAAAATAAAATATGTAAGAAGACGTCACTTTTAGGTATGTTTGGTTGTAAAGAGAGAAGATAAAGATAGGTAAGAGAGAGTGTAGAAAGAGAGAAAGTGATAAGAAATAAAGTGGATTTGAAGTATTAATTGGTTTAAGAGAAAGAGAGAAGAAATAGAAAAGGGAAAAATGTTGAACCGTAGTATTATAATTAGTAAGAATGTCAGTTATGATAGAATTATTTTACTAGTAATAATTAAATAGAAATAATAGAATATATGTAATTGGTCCTATTGGATGAGAAGGGGAAGAATGATGAGGGGGTTATGTTAGTAAAACCATTAGTGGTTGTTAGTTCTCTTATTTTAGGATTGACTTAATTTTTTGTAAAACAAATAATAGCATCAATAAAGAATAGGATAAGAAGAACAGGTACAACAAGAAGTCCTATTACAATGTCAAAATATGTTGTGTTAAACTTTTTCAACAACCGAAACAACATGTCGAAGAAGATATCTTGACATCGCGCCTGTTGAGATGGATTAATGAGATTCAGTTTGTTCTCAACATTGGCAGAATATTCAGGAGAATATTATGCATCTTATGTGGTGCATATTTAAAGCTCCGGGAAATTCAATCAGAAATCAAGGATAATGAAGACTTTCTAAATAAGGAGATTATTTAGGAAAGTAAAGATTGAAGACCTTTCTTGGGGCATAAGTTTCTGCAATTTGTTACATCTGATTTGTTGTGATTGAAGGTTCAAAACCAGTTGGATAACAGGTTATAAATAAAATGGTTTGTAACCTAGAAAAAACACGGCTCAAGATGTAGAAGTCTAGGGTTTTGTCAAGGTAAACCTCCCGGATTGTGGGAAGGTTACCATGTTCACCTCGAAGCCTGTAGGTAAGAGGTGTATTGTTCTTGGAGGAAGCTTTGAAGCAACTCCAGGATGTGTTCTTAGTTAGGAGCAAAGCTAACAAACAATGGAGTTTAGCTAAGAAACTTAGCTAGGTTGTCATGGAAGTGTGTCTTCCAAAATGTCTATATGTGTGATCAGAATCTTGGTGAAGGGTCGTTGATGTAGTGACTGGGTGTTGACTGCTAGACATCATTGTGATGATTGGAAGTGGGATGGGGATATTCCATATCTAGGAAGGGCCTAGGTAGAAGGGTCATTGGGTAGTGATTAAGTGCGTAGATCGTCAACGGGTGTGTTGGTTGTAGGGTCTGCAAATTGATACTGCTGATAGTGGACTTCATTCTTGGCTTGGTAGCCCTAAGAGGAGGTGTTGTTGTACATTGAACTGGGTAAATAATTCTGGTGTGTTCTTTATCTTTTCAGTACTGTTTTGCCTGTGTGTTCATGACAGATCAGGTTTCTCGATATCCTTGTAGGACATCTGAGTCTGTTGTACAAGAATTTCAATTGGTATCAGAGCAGGCATCCTGTTCTGCTCTAGGTGAGATCCTGAGAAGGTATTTTCTGGTCATGGGCAAGGAAGAAAGTATTTACTGAAAAGATGTATGAACTTAGATAATTCATACTATTGTTTGGATGATCTCTTGGCAAGGATCATTGGTTATATGTGATAGGTATTTTTCCTGGTTGTTGCTATCAGGCCTGCAGCTTAGTGGGAAGTTGTTGTATGTAGGATTTATTTTTTTCAATCCTAGGTTGCCATGCTTGTACTTGGATAGTGGTGTAAGCATTGTGTCTGGATATTGTTGAGGAATTTGTTATATTTCGTTGCATGGTTTCTGATATAACCCTGAAAGTATGAGAAGAATATTAGGGTTGTTACCCTCAACAGAATATATGCTGACATTTTCAACCGTATTAAAAGTGTCAAAGATACTTGAGATTTTCCTCAAGTCCACTCATAAAGATATTTATCAATAAGGTTGATGAGAATTAATTTATCAATGATGCTCATATACATCTGCATATTGACCTTGAAGAGTGTCAAGGATGGTGTATTCCAAGAAGAAGGAATTGATGTTCTATGGGATGTTAGAACATTATGCAACTACCAGTTGAAGAACAGATGCTTTGGGTACTGAATAAAAATGTTTTGAATAATTTTTATTTGGAACCTACTCCTGATCTGGAAGAGGAGGCATCTGGTTTGTGCAGGTTGATTAGGACACAGTCAACAGTTTATCTACTCCATGTGTC